GACGGGCGCAGGCTGGGCGTCGAGTTCCGCGTCTTCGATGACGGGTTCGGCTTTCGCTATACGCTGCCCGGGCTTGGCGGCACAGTCTCTGGTCGTGACCGACGAACGGACCGAGTTTCACTTCGCGCAGAACTACCGCGCCCGGTCGATCCCGGCCTATCGCGAGAAATATAGCGAGTATGAATATAGCCGGTCGGCGCTGTCGGCGATCCAGACCGCGCAAACCCCATTGACGCTGGAGGGCGACGGCGTCGCGCGATGGCGGTGCACGAAGCCGCGCTGGTCGATTTCCCCTCGATGAACCTGCGTATGCCCGAGGAGAATAGCCGCACGCTCAAGGCGGATCTCTCGCCCGGCCCAATGGCGACCGGGCGCGGACGCATGGCGGGGCGGTGACGCCGTGGCGGGTGGTGATGGTGGCCCCGGATGCGGCGCATCTGGCGGACTCGACCATCGTCCTCAACCTCAACGAGCCCAACCGGCTGGGCGACGTGTCACAGGTGAAGCCGGAGAAATATATCGGCATCTTCTGGGCGATGCATACCGGCCTGCTGACACGGGAGCCGGGGCCGAAGCTGGGCGCGACCACCGCCGGGCCAAATCCTATATCGACTGGGCGGCGGCGGGACTGGATCAGGGCGTACTGGTCGAGGGATGGAATATCGGCTGGGACGTGCCCGAATGGTGGAAGAACGGCCATTCGCGCTTCCTGTTCGACCGCGCGCAACCCGCCTTCGATATGGCCGAGGTGTCGGCTCATGCGCGTGCCAAGGGGTGGACCTGATCGGCCATCACGAAACCGGCGGGCAGGTGCGGGATTATCTGCGCCAACTCGAACCCGCGCTCGACTATTATGACCGCTACGGCGTGCGGGCGATCAAATTGGGCTATGTCGGGACGCGTCTGGACGAGACCGAATGGCCCGATGGCCAATATGCGGTCGAGAGCCTGCAAAAGGTCGTGGAGGCGGCGGCGCGGCACCATATCGCCATCTTCCCGCATGGCCGTCAGGACACCGGCCTGCGCCGCACACGCCCAATCTGCTGAGCCGCGAAGGCGCGCGGGGACAGGAATATAATGGCGGCAGCCCGGACGGCGGCAACGCCCCCGACCACACTACGATCTTGCCCTTCACCCGGCTCTTGTCTGGGCCGTTCGACTATACGCCCGGCGTCGTCCATTTCGACTATCGCGCGACCCGGCCGAACAACCGCGTCCCTCGACGCTGGCCAACCAACTGGCGCTCTATGTGGTGCTCTACAGCCCGGTGCAGATGGCGGTCGATCTGCCCGAGCATTATGACGAACATGCCGACGCGTTTCGTTTCATCCGCGACGTGCCGACTGATTGGGAGGAAAGCCGTACGCTGCAAGGGGCGATCGGCGAATATGCGGTCGTAGCGCGGCGCGACCGGAAAAGCTCCGACTGGTATCTGGGCGCGATCACCAACGACAGTGCTCGCACGCTGACCGTTCCACTCGATTTTTCTCGACAAGGGCACGCGGTACGAGGCGACCATCTATGCCGACGGCGCCGATGCTGACTGGCGTACCGCCCCGAAAAGCTGGCGATCCGACGGCAAGAGATATCGGCCGGAGAAGCCCTGTCGCTCCGTCTGGCGCGTGGCGGTGGGCAGGCGATCCGGTTTCGAAAATTGTAACTTGGCTGTTTGACGAAATTTCAGTCCTCACATCGATAAAGCGCAATGTGATCCACGCCCGGACGCTGCGAAGAGCGAAATGAACGAAGGGCGGACGCTGGAAAAGCTCGGCGCCGCGAATGACTGCGGCGGTCGTCAGCAGGACGTCCCTTATCGCTTATAACCGGCATTGTAGAGGTCGTTCAGCCGCCTCAAAGGCCACCGGGGTGTAGCGGCCCGCGTGTCGACGCCGACCGCCGGGAAGGCCAAGCCCGCTGTCAAGCCGAACGGAATTGTCGATCAGCAGGGGCCTGCGCGGGGTTATGCATTGGACCTCGCTAGCGGCGGTCCGGACAGCGAGGATGCGGATTTCGGTCGCGCCGCCTAAAGCCGCGCGCTGGGGTATTCGAAAAAGGAAGCAGCGGAATAGGGCACCGTCAAGACCGGAATTCCCCGCTGTCGGTTGAGGTCTGAGGCATAGGCGGTTTCGTCACTGGGACGAAACCGCCGGCAATCAAAGTGTATGAAATCATCTGCTAAGCAGTATTGCCTCGGACGGGGCGGCCTGATCGAACGCTTCAGCGTGTTATCGAGCGGCGAAATCCACCTTCAGGTATGTCGCTGTCGATACTGGCTGGCTGCTCCGCCTGCGCGTCCTGGACCGATTTTGGCCCGGCTAAGATAGCTGGCCCGCGACCCTATACTGGCCTCTGAAAGTCGCCCGCTTTCGAAGGCTTTTTGCTGTCCGGAACCGGCGACGTCCAGTAGGTCGCTAAGACGTCGGAAAGAACTCGACAAAAAGAGGATATAGGATGCGGGCGGTCATCATCGGTGAAGGCATGTTGGAACTGTCCGGTGGTGCGGATATCGGCGCGGCCGGCTGGCGGCTTGGCTATGGCGGGGATACGCTCAATACCGCGCTCCATGGTCCGCTCGGGAGCGGATGTCGCTTATGCGACGGCATTGGGACGGATGCCTTTAGCGAGTTGCTGAGTGCTGGGCGAGCGATGGCTGGACGTATCGATGGTGCTGCGCGATCCCAGCCGGATGCCCGGCCTCTATGCCATCCGTACCGATGCGTCGGGCGAGCGCAGCTTTTTCCTATTGGCGTAGCGACAGTGCGGCGCGGCGCTTTTTGCATTGCCCGATGCCGCGATGTTGTTTCCCAGAGCGATGGCGGCCGACCTGTTCTATTTCTCGCTGATCAGCCCTTGCCGTTCTGCCGGATGAGGGGCGACACGTGTTGATCGACGTTGCGCGCCGGCTTCCGGACGGCGGGGCGTACCGTGGCGTTCGACGGTAATTATCGGCCCGCCTTGGGGCGGATCGCGCAGAGGCGGTTCGTTGGCGTGATGCCGCGATCGGCTGTGCGACGATCAGCCTGCCCACGGCGGAGGATGAGGCGATGCTGAGTGGGGAGTCGGACGCTGACGCCGTGGAGGCGCATTGGCGTGCGGCAGGGAGCGCAGGAGGTCGTGGTGAAGATGGGGGCGGCCGGATGTCGGCTCACCGGCGGCGCAGTGGTTGCGCCGTCACATCGCTGGTACCCGTGGACACCAGCGGGCGGGGGATGCATTCAACGCGGCGTATCTGCTCGCGCGGATGGCGGGCGAGGCGCCGGAGGACGCGGCGTCGGCCGGTCATCGGCTGGCAGGATGGGTGATTCAGCGGCGCGGCGCGGTGCCGGATCGCGATGCGGACGCGCCCTATCCCGGCGCAGGATAAGACACCGGGGCGTCCACCCAAATGATGCGGCCAAGCGCCGCCAATCGGCCGGACGAAGCGACCAATGGCAGAGCCAAGATATTTCAACCGGTTGCGCAGGCGGGCGCTGCCGCATAATAGCCTATGGAACAACGGTTACACACGCCGCAGCCGCTTTGACCGCATTCAGCAGAATTGGCTCGCTACCACCGAGCGTCGGATCCTGACTTGGCTGTGCGGCAAGATGCCCCCGCAATGACCCCCGATCGACTGACGGCCATCGGCATGGCCGGGGCGGCCCGGTTTTTATCGGCTATGTCTGCAGCAATTTTGGCGCGGGCTGGCTGGCGCGCGCTGGCCGGCTATGCGGTGCAGTGGTTCGGCGACTCGCTGGACGGCAGCTCGCCCGCTATCGCAAGATCGAGCGGCCATCCTACGGCTATTTCCTCGATCATGCGCTGTGACGGACTGGCCAATCTGATGATCGTGCTGGGCATCGGCCTGTCGCCCTTTGTCGGCATGAACGTCGCGCTGATCGCGCTGGCCGGCTATTTCCTGATGTCGATGCACGCCTTCCTCGCCGCGCGGGGTGATCGGCGAGTTGCGGCTGTCCTATATGGCGGCCGGGCCGACCGAGCTTCGGTTGTTTCTGATGCTGCTGACGGTCGCGATGATGTTCGACGATCCGACCAAGGATTTGATCGGCAATGTGTCGGGGTTCGACATTTTGATCGGAGGGATCGGCGTCGGCTTGATCCTGCTGTTCGTCGTCCAGACTTTCGCCGTCGCTCGGCAATTGGCCGTCACCGACCGGCGCTGATATATCGCTGGACCGGTCGCGCTGATCCGCGACGACCGGCCCAATATCGCGGCTTAGCCCGCGACCAGCAGGCCGTGATGCTTCTTGCCCGAGGACAGCTTCACCGGCTGTCCGCCGACGGCGATGACCGCATTCTCATCGGCGATCTTCTCACCATCGATGCGCGCGCCGCCTCCTGCGATCAGGCGGCGGGCCTCGCCCTGGACTTGCAAAAGCCCAGCCCGATCAGCGCGTCGACGATGGTGATTGAGCCGCCTGCCACCGCAAAGCGGGCAGGGCGGCGGCGCCGGCTGCGCCTTCCTCGAAAGTGCGACGGGCGGTTTCGGCGGCTTCCTCGGCGGCGGCACGGCCACGGCACATGGCGGTGGCCTCGTTCGCCGGGATCTTCTTGGCCTCGTTGATCTCCGCGCCTTCCAGCTTTTCGAGACGTTCGATCTCGTCGAGCGGCAGGTCGGTGAACAGTCGCAGGAAGCGGCCCACGTCGCGGTCGTCGGTGTTGCGCCAGAATTGCCGTAATCGAAATGCGGCAACTGGTCCTCATGCAGCCACACCGCGCCGGGCTATGGTCTTGCCCATCTTGCCGCCATCCGCCGTGGTGATCAGCGGCGTGGTGACGCCGAATTGTCCCGTCCATGCGGCAGGCCAGTTCGATGCCGTTGACGATATTGCCCCACTGGTCCGATCCGCCCATCTGCAGGCGACAGCCATGACGCTGTGCCAGTTCGCGGAAGTCATAGGCCTGAAGGATCGCTATAGTTGAATTCGAGGAAGCTGAGCGACTGCTCACGGTCGAGCCGCAGCTTTACCGAATCGAACGACAGCATTCGGTTAACCGAAATGCTGTCCCACCTCGCGCAGGAAGGGATATATTCGGAGCTTGTCGAGCCGGTCGGCATTGTCGACCATCACCGCATCAGTGGGGCCATCGCCAAAGGTCGAGAAACGTTCAGAATACCACGGATCGAGGCGACATTGGCCTTGATCCCGTCCTCGGCCAAGCTTGCGCGCCTCGTCGCCCAAGCTGGGATCGCCGATCTTGCCGGTGCCGCCCCCATCAGGCACGATCGGCTTATGCCTGGTCTGCTGCATCCGGCGCAGGAGCATATCTGCACCCGAGGCTACCGACATGCAGCGACGGCGCGGTCGGGTCGAAGCCGATATAGCCGGGCACCACCTGCGTCGAAGCCAGCCGGTCGAGCGCGGCGGCGTCGGTCATCTGGTGGACGCCAACCCCGGTCGTTCCAGGGTGCGGAGCAGGTCGGACTGATACGTCATGATAGCGGTCCGTTACACCGCCGTTCCCCGTTCGTCACCCTCCGCCGATACAAAGCGAGCGCGGGTGAGATCCCACCCGCGCTCCTTCGTTACGCCGTTAGCGGCAGACGGTGCCCCGTTCCGCTCGACATAGGTGCAGGGACGATAGCCCGAGCCCCTGACCGGTATAGTTGGTATAATCGCCCTGTGAGCGGGGATCGACGCGCCCGGCGTACGGCGCCCCTCATATTCGCGGGCGACCCCGCGCCTCCACGCCGGGCCTGCCGGCGGTCACCGCGCCAGCCGCGATCATCCTGCCAACCGCGACGTTCGCCGCGCCAGTCGCGACGATCATTTCGCCAATCCGGCGGTCACCCGCCGGTCGCCGCGATCCTCGCGCCAGTCACGGCGGTCGCGATCCCGATCATAGCGCGGTCCGTCGCGCGCGGACTGAGCCTGCGCGTCCGAGGCGGGCAGGGGTCGCGGTGGCGCCACACCGGCCACCGACAGGCCAAATTACCGCAAAGAGGTGAAGAATCTTTTTCATACGCCGACTCTCCTCAGGGCCCCATGCCGGCATTTAACCGGCAAGGCGCTGTCGCGTTCATAACGGGAAGATGTCAGCGGCGTGGCAATTGCGTCAGCGGATCGACCGGGGTGCGGCCCCGGCGGAGTTCAAATGCACCTCCGGCCGGTCGGCGAAAGCCGCTCTGTCCCTGACAAAGCGAGCGTCTGGCCGCGCTTGACCGCTCGCCGCGCTGGACGAGTAGCTTGGCGTGGCCATAGACGCTGGTCAGCGGTCGCCATGCTTGCCGATCGATCACCGCCCAGCGCCGCGATACCGTCGCCGACATAGGCGACGACGCCGTCGGCGGTGGCCTTTATGGGCGCCGATCGGCACGGCGATCTTGATGCCGTCGTTGCGCTCTCGCCGCTGGAGCCGGCGCCGAAGCGCTTCGACGCAGCCCTCGACTGGCCAGACAAAGCCCGAATTGAGCCGGGCCGGGGCGGCGACCACGGCGGTGGGGGGGAACACGCGACGGCGTGGTGCTGGGCTTGGGGGGAACTGGTTGTTCGCCAACGCCGCTCGCCGCCGGTCAGGATGTCGTCGATATTGAGCGTGAAGGCGGCGGCGCGCTCGGCGGCGGTACTCGCGGGCGCCGACCGTCCCGCCCGGGATCCAGGATACGCTGGCCCGCGCGCGCAGCACATAGTTCGGTCAATGCATTGGCGTCGACGATCTGCGACCGGGGCACGCCGTAAGCGCGCGCGATCGCGATGCCGGTTTCTCCGGAGCGGACCCGGTGGAAGCGGCCGGGGAATGATCAGCTTTTGCCCGACGCGACGACGCCATAGGGCGGGGGCAAGGCATTGGCCCGCGCGATCGCGTCGGCGCCGGCACCAATTCGATCGGCGATACCGCGCAACGTGTCGCCGACGGACGATATAGGTCGATCCCGCAATCTCGCGCGCGTCGGGCGTGACCGGGCGGATTTCGGGGAGGGCGCGGCGCGGGCAGGGAGGTTACCGGCTTCGTGCGGTAGCCTCGATGGAGGGGGAGCCATTGGGGGCGCAGAATCGATCGGCTGGCGGTAAACCGGCACGGGCGGCGAATAGGCGGTCGCCCGGCGCACTGGTCGTGGTGGGCGTCGGCACTGGCGCAGGGCGCGGCGTGACGGGACGCGGCGTAAAGCGGGTGGCCCGCACGGGCGGCGATTGGACGATCGGCGGCGGGGCGGCGGGCACTGTGGAGCTGGCGGGTGGCTCCATATTCGGGATGCATCCGTGACCAGCATCCCGATGCCGATGATCCCCAACTTCCGTTCCACGCCCCGTTCCCCGGTTCATTCAGCGATAGGCCGCGTCGAGCATAGCAAGAGATGCGTCATGCGTAAGATCGAGATGCAGGGGGGTGACGGCGATGCAATCCTCGGCAATCGCGTCCAGATCGGTGTCATGGCCGGGCTGGTGCGGCAGGCGGCCGAGCGCCAGCCAGTAATAGTCATATCCCCGCGGATCGCTGCGCCGATCGAACGTCGCGCGACCATATCGCGCAGCCCCCTGCGCGCGATGCAGTCACCCTTCACCGCCTCGCCTCGACGGGCGGGAAGTTGATGTTGACCAGCGTACGCGGACCGAAGTCCAGATCGAGCAGCGGTCGCAACACCCGCTCGCCCCCCAAAGCTTCGGCGGTGGCGAAAGGCACGCCGTCGCCAAAACCTTTGGGCCGCATAACGCTGGCTGAGCGCGATCGAGCGGATGCTCGCCAGCGCGCCATCGCCGCCGACACCGTCCCGGAATAGGAACACGTCCTCGCCCAGATTGGCGCCGCGATTGACGCCCGACAGGATCAGGTCGGGCTTGGTACAACCATCACCTCCCCCAGCGCCATCAGCACCAGATCGGTGGGTGTCCGTTGACCGCAAAGCGCCGTTCGCCGAACTGGCGCAGCCTTAGCGGCCGGGTCAACGCGTCAGCGAGCGGCTGGTCCCCCACTGGTCCTCGGCCGGCGCGACGATCCAGACATCGTCCGACAAGGTGGCTGCGATCCGCTCCAGTGCCGCCAAGCCCGGCGCATGATAGCCATCGTCATTGGTCAGCAGGATGCGCGCATCAGCGCGGCTCCAGCACCGCCTGTCCGCCCGGATGGGGGCGCAAAGCTTCCGGCACGACGACCGAGCCATCGGCCTGATAATTCTCGATGACGGCGACGAGGGCACGACCGACCGCCAGCCCTGAGCCGTTGAGGGTGGGACGAAGCGCGTGCCTTGCCTCGTCGGGCGATAGCGCGCCATCATCCGGGGCGCCGCGCTTGGAAATCGCAGGTCGAGCAGGACGAAATCTGCGATAGCGCGCGCTCGCAGCCAGACCTCCGGTCAAAGGTGCGCTGCCGAGAAACCCATATCGCCGGTGCAGAGCAGCATCCGGCGATAGGGGAGACCGAGGCCTCCAGCACGCCTTCGGCGGCGGCGGTCATCCGCTCATGCTCGGCATCCGATTGCTCGGGGTGGTGATCGACACCATCTCGACCTTGTCGAACTGATGCTGGCGAATGAGACCGCGTGTATCGCGACCCGCCGCGCCCGCTTCCGGAGCGGAAACAGGGCGTCAGCGCGGAAAGCGCAGCGGCAGTTCCTGCTCGCTCAATATCGCCTCACGCACGATATTGGTCAAGCGACACCTCGGCCGTCGGGATCAGCCAGCGACCATCGGTGGTCCGGAACAGATCCTCGGCGAATTTGGGCAACTGGCCGGTGCCGAATGCGGCTTCGTCGCGCACCAGCAGGGGGGCTGGACCAGCTCGAAGCCGTGCTGCTCGGTCATGCGGTCGAGCATGAACTGGCCGAGCGCCCGCGACAGCCGGGCGCATCGCCCCGCGCAGTGTGAGCGCACCCGACAAGGCGACGCCGGTGTGTCAAATCCATGCCTAACGCCGGCGCGATCACGTCATGCCTCCCGAAGGCGAAAGCTGTCGGCTCGCCCTTCTGATGCACCAGCGCATTGTCATCCTCGTCCGCGCTTCCGGCATCGGCGGCGGGCAGGTTTGGGGGCGGCAAGCGCGGTGTTCAACTCGGGCTCGACGCTGCGCTCCTGCTCCTCAGTTCCGGGCGAGCGCGCCTTCAGCCCGGCGACTTCTCCATCAGCGCACGGGCGCGGGCGTCACGGGCGGCCTTAGCCCGGCCGATCTGCTTGACAATTCGTTGCGGCGGGTCTGCGCCGCTTGCGCCTTCGGCGATGATCGCGCGGCGGCGTTCGTCGATCGCGATCAGCGTCTCGGCCCGCTCGGCACCCCTGCTTGGCGAGGCGGCGTCGAAGGCGGCGGGTCGTCCCGGATCAGGCGAATGTCGTGCATGGGGGGCGAGGCTATGGCCTCCCGCTCACCGTCACGCAACCACGTGGCGGAAGCCATCGCGTTATCCCTTGCACAGACAAAGGAGATACGCGATGGAATACCACGCATAACAGCTTCGTGCTGGTCGTCGATGGCCGCAAGAGCCTGTTCTTCTTCCGCAACGAAGGGGATGCCCAATATCCCAATCCTGACCGTCGAACATGCCGTCGAGCACCCCAATCCCCGCCGATCGCGATCAAAAAGACCGACAGGGCCGGGAGCGCGTCTCGACACAGAGTGCAGGCGCGCCGGCGATCGCGCGCGGCGGATCGATCAGGCGGGCGGCGAAAGGCGCAGGGCGCCCAGTTCGCCCCTGGGTCGCGGATCGATGGGCGAGGCCGACTATCACCAACAGGAAGAGGGCCGCTTCGCCGCCGAGACCGCCGAGATGCTGAAGCGCCGTGCGATGGCGAATGAGTTCACCGCTGATCGTCGTCGCGCCGCCCAAGATGCTGGGCGAGCTGCGCAAACATTATCTGAGGAAGTCACCGATCGTCTGGTCGGCGAACCGGCAATGACCTGACCGGGCATCCGGTGCCTGAGATCGAGCCGCGCTGCAAAAAGGCGCAGCGGCCTTTCCGAGGGGCGGCGCGTCAGCGCGTTTGCGAAACCGCCGGATCACCAGCGCGCCGCCGCGCCGCCGAACAACAACACCATCGGTGGCGCGGGCTGCGGGTCGGCGGACCACCGGTCGAATTGCCCGGAAGACGAGGCACTGCTGGCGGAGGATGCGCGACGACGCGCTCGAGGCCGAACTGGCGACGAACCATTGGACGACCAGCCATCGCTGCTCGACCCATAGCCGCTCGACGAGGCGGACGAGGTCGATGACGCGCTCCGAGGTCGAGTACTGACATCGCCCGACGACGGGCTTGGTCGACGACACGTACCCGAAAGACGAGGTGCTGCTGACACCGCCGGTCGAGTCGATGATCCGCCGGTGGATGTGGACGAACCTCGGTGGAGGTCGGCGAACCACCCGATCCGCCCGATACCGATGAGGTTGAGCTCCGGCCCGCCGCTGCTGGTCGAGGTATTACCGTTCGATCCGCCGCCAAAGCCGAAACCGCCGCCAGCCGCCCCGAAACCTCCGCCAAAGCACTGCCCCAGCCGCCGCCACCCCAACCGCCGATCACGGCCGGAATGATAAATTCCGCTGCTGACGACCGGCGGCAGCGGCGGGCAGCGGCACGGGATGGCGGGGACTGCGTCGTCACGGTGACGACGGTTGCGGGGGCGTCGAGGTGGTGACCGTCCGGCGCGTCACGACCCGACGCACGCCTTGGCCGGAAACCTGGCGATGGACGATCTTTCGCCGGGCTTGGTCTGCTTGACCACGGCCGGACGTCTTTTTTTTTCGACCATGTGCACGGCCCCACCGCCGATCACGGCGCCTCCTGCTGCACAGGCGGTCAGCTTCGCCGGCCATTCGCACGGGACATTGTCACTTCCTCATACGTGCAGCCGAATGGCGCGGCCTTCCGGCGCGTCCAAGGCTCTTTCAGTCATTCCCGTCATCCACTGACCAAAAAGATTTAAGGGCCAAGCGCGATATTCGCCGCTGCGTTCAGTAATGGGGATTCGGGTACGGCATCCCATCCGGCCGGGTGACGGGCATATGGCGTGTGCCAGATGCCCACCGGCGGGTCATCCGCCTTTTCGAGATCTGGGTGGAAAATCGTTTGCCGACCGACAGTTCGTCCATATCCCGTTCACTTCGCAACTTTATTATCAAAATGATTAGTACGACGAAATGCCGGTCGCTTGCGGCAAGTGGTGGCACCGACTATAGGCGCTCTGGGACCATCAGGGGGCGGCCCGAGGACGCGGTGCAAAGCGTCGCGCGACGGCCCTTTGGGAGAGTGGTATGGCGACGGTGTTTGATCGCATGACGGATCCCACGGGCCCGGATGTGGCCAATGATCTAGATGAAAATTACCGTCCCAGCGGACGAGTTGTTCAAGAGCCTGCAGCAGGTTTATTTCCGGCGCAAATTGCGCTGGAAGGACCTCGATCCAGCGGGAGGCGCAGGGAACCCCTGTCGCAATTGCAGATTGATTCGTTGCGCGAACCCGATCTGACCGATCGCGCTTCGAGCGAAACCGACTGGTCGATCGAACTGCGCACCCGCGATCGCCAGCGCAAGCTGATGCCAAGATCGATGCCGCGCTCCGCCGCCTGACGAAGGCGAATATGGCTATGCAGAAGTCACTGAGAGCCGATCAGCCTGGGCCGCCCGGAGGCACGCCCCATCGCGACGATGACGGTCGAAGCGCAGGAGCGGCAATGAACGGAACGAGAAGGTGTCGCGAGACGATTGAGCCATGGGGAATGGCTATCGCCCGCCGCCGATCGGGGCGGTACCTCTCCCGGTGCGTCGTTTGGCCTTTGCGAGCTCCGGGATATTAATGGAATGGCAACCCTATCGCGCGTAACGCGCGATCGCGTGAGGAAGAACGGGGCCGCACGGATTTCGATATGGATGCGATGAGGCGCGAGCCCGACACCGGGCCGAACGAGGCAGAGCGCAGCAGGGGCAAACCAGGCGCAGCGACGCGACAGCCTGTTGCTGATGGCGGCGTGACCGCCGGCGACCCAACCTCTCGCGACGTGCGCGTGCGAAATATCTCCGAGGGTGGGCTGATGGCCGAACTGGCGATCCCCGTCGAGATCGACCGCCATCATGTTCGATCTGCGCGGCATCGGTCCGGTATCGGGCCGGGTCGCTGGCGTACCCAGGGTCGATCGCCGATCGATCCCAAGCGTCCGGCCGGTTGGCGGCGGAACACCCACGCCCGAATATGCGGCGCCGACGACCCCGCACACGCGATCCTTTCACCACTAAGGCCCTTTTCCGAGGGGCGGTATCGCAGCCTCGTCGGCATTTTTGCTAAACTTCGCCGATAAGGTTGCGCCTTATGTCGGGACCAGACGATTTCGCGGTCGCCCGACAATATAGCGGTCGAGCAGCAGGGGTTGCCGTTGGACAGAGATCACCCTCCGCACGCGACCACACGCGCGGGCATGTGCCCGCGCGGGCCGGTTATGGATCATCTGGCGGCGGTCGGTCCGCGCATGGGGTTGTGGTCCGGCCGCCTAGGCCCCCTCATGAAGCACGGGCGCCATCGATTGCCGAAGAGGCGTTCCTCTAGATATTCTGGATCTTTCAGTCTGTTCTGCTTCTTGAGATCGGCAAGGATCGCCGGGTCGGGCATTGGGCGCTGTGATTCGGCGTGGATCTGCCGATCAAGCGTCGCATGCTTGGTTTCGGGGCCGTTTGATGCGCCGTATGCATAGGGCTTCAACCTCCTGCCCATTGCTAGGGGAATGGGTAAATCATCAATCGGGCAGATTGTCGCCCTTTGATTTTTCGTCGAAATCGACCGGCAGAGCCATTTCTCGGATGATATGCAATGGCCTCTCGGCCGCCCCCTTCTTTTGCCGTGTCCAAGCCCCTCGCGCGATCACGCGGGGCTTGCTGAAGAGGTGCGAGCCTGACAGGGAGGGGCAGGATGGATGTCACGCTGGCACGCGCACGGATCGACATGTTGCGTGTCGACATCGCGATCGGTCGATGCGATCGCCGCACTTCTCCAGTCCACGGTTCTGATCAGCGGCAGATCGCGCGGCTGAAGAAGCGCAATTGCGGTTGCGCGACGAGCTTACCGAACTGGAAGATCGCCTGATTCCCGACATCATCGCCCGACCGCTTCGTATCGGGACGGGCGGCTGATCCAGTTGTTGTCGCCTGGTTCCGCATCGTGCGAGCGAAGCAGCTATGCTGCATTCGATCGATCATGGTCCTTTCCAACGCAAAGCTGATCGATGGCTTGGCGTGCCGAGGTGATGACCGGCGGAAACCGCGCGCGGCTATTTCGACGGGATCGGCCGGCAGGATCGTGACGCGCTCGAACCGGTGGCGAGGATCGGCTTTTTCCTGCCGCTGAAGGTCACCACCCGCCTGATGCATGTCATCGCACGGATACTCACCCAACGCGCGGTGGATGCGGGAACTGCCATGGTCCAGATCACGCGATCCGTCCGCAGGCTGGGCCGTTCGCCGGAGTTTGACGAGCGGCGGTCGCCGCGCTGCCTGCCCGCGCGCCGCTGCGCTGACGCAGGCGAGCCTTGACCTTCACCGCCGGGTCGAACGGGCTGGATCAGATGGCCGATGAGCCCGTGGCGAGGTCAGCCCGGTACCAGATGCCGAGGCCCGTCTCGGCGGCGCCTTCTGAGGTCCGCCGCCGCCGGATCAGGGCTGTTCAGTGCCAACCTTTGGCGGGCGGCGGCATATTGACGGGCAAGGGGTGGCGATCCGGTCGGCGGCAGGCCTGATGGCCTCCACCGCGCCGATCCCTGACCCGCACCCCAGATGTCACGCCACGCCTTGGCGGCCTGTCCGCTACTGAAATCCATCTTTGAGACATCACCCTCAGGCAGATGATCGGGGTCTAGCCCGGCCGCGATGATCGAGGCGCGCAGATAGTACCATGTACGCCGGTGAACAGGCTGGAATAGACGATATCGCTCGCCCGCCCGTCGACGACGCCTTGCTTATAGGCTGCGCTGCATTGGCCTCGACCGTCGCGATGAAGGGCGAGCTGATATAGGCGAAGTCGGCGCCCATGGCCCGGGCCGCCGGATCGCATCCCCGTGGCGATCGCGCCGGCCAGCGCCAGCGGTCCGTCGAACCATTGCCGGATTTCCTGCACCAGCCGCGAAGGGCGAGGCGCCGGCACACCGCCACGCCCGTCGCCACTGCGATCAGGCCATCGGCACCCTTTTCCACCGCCTTGCGCGCGAAACGTCGTCGATCGTCATGCAGCGTGATGCCGCCCCAGCCATGGACCCCCCGCATTGACGTCCTCGCGCGCGCCCAGCGGCGAATACGATCGGCACCTTCCACTTGGCGCAGGTCGCCAGATCGTCCTCCAGCCGGTCGTTGGAGCGGTGGACGATCTGGTTGACGGCAAAGAGGCGCGGCCAGGTGATCGGGGTGCGCGCGGTCATGCGCCGCCAGTTCCTCGGCATCCGATGCAACCATTCGTCGAGCAGGCTGGCGGGTCGGGCGTTGAGCGCGGGAAGGGCCGACGATCCCCGCCTTGCACTGTGCGATCACCAGATCGATTGGAAATGATGAACAGCGGCGACCCGATCACGGGCAGCGCGAGGGCGACTCAAGGCAGGCAGGCTCTAAGCTTTTACGATAACGTAAATGGAAAGTGTGTCCAGCCTGCCTCGGTCGATGCGATGGGATATTATGACATGAGTGACATTTGCTTTGAGCGGGGAGGGCGTAGAGCTTGGCCATTCCAGAATGAAAGGCCTTGATCCCGATGAAGTCCGCCCTTTCGGTCCTCCCTTGCCTTGACGATGTCACGCCTGCGCTGGCGGGTAGGGCCAATTGCCGCAGACGGTGGCGCCGGTCCTCTATGACATCACCATTCGCCCCCGACGCCAAGGCGCCGACCTTCTCCGGCGAGGAGACGGTAGAGACGACGTGCGTCAGGCGACCGCCAATGATCGTGCTGAACGCTGCGCCTGACCATCACCCGTGCGACGTTCGACGGCAGTCGGTCCCCTTCGCGCTCGACAAGGCGGCGCAGACGTGACGCTCACCCTGCCGCAGGCGCGACGGTCGGCCCGGCACAAGGTGGGGTTGCGTGACCGGCACGATCAACCGCTCGGCAATGGCCTGTTCGGCGATCGACTATACCAACGCCGACGGCACGCCCGGACGGATGCTGGCGACCCAGTTCGAGCGCCCGACGCGCCGCTTCGCTTTACGCCGATGTGGGACGAGCCCCTTCGCGCCAAGTTTCGCCTGACCGCCACCGCGCCCAAGGGGGCAGCGCGCGATCAGCAACATGCCCGCCGCCTCGATCACGCCCCTGCAGACGGCAGCCAACTCTATCGCTGACGACGCCAGTGATGTCGAGCTATCTCTGCTCTATTTCGGCTCAGGAATCTGGATCGAAGACGGTGGATGCGAACGGTGTCCAGATCGGCGTGGTCAGCCACACCAGGCGTGGTGACGGCATGATTATTAAAGCCAGGCCCGCAACCAAGCTGGGGTTGAGCTATTATAATGATTATTTCGGCACGCCTATCCGCTGCCCAAGATGGATATGATCGCCGGGCCGGGCTCCAGCCAGTTCTTCGGCGCGATGGAGAATGGGGCGCGATCTTCTATTTCGAGAACGAGCTGCTCTTCGATCCCTGGGTGATGAGCGAGTAATCGCCAGCGTATCCGCCGGTCGTCGCGCATGAAATGGCGCACCAATGGTTCGGCGACCTCGTCACGCCCGCGCTGGTGGGACGACCTCTGGCTGAACGAGGGGGCTTCGCGTCGGATGGAGGGCAAGGCTTCCAACGACCTGGATCCGAGCTGGGAGGCGGCCGCCGCCAGCGTCGCGGGCGAACGCGAGT